TAATGCATGTAATGCATGTAATGCATGTAATGCATGTAATGCATGTAATGCATGGTATGCATGGTATGCATGGTATGCATGGTATGCATGGTATGCATGGTATGCATGGTATGCATGGTATGCATGGTATGCATGGTATGCATGGGATGCATGGTATGCATGGTATGCATGGTATGCATGGTATGCATGGTATGCATGGTATGCATGGTATGCATGGTATGCATGGTATGCATGGTATGCATGGTATGCATGGTATGCATGGTATGCATGGTATGCATGGTATGCATGGTATGCATGGTATGCATGGTCTGCATGGTCTGCATGGTCTGCATGGTCTGCATGTTGTGTATGTTGTGTATGTTGTGTATGTAGTGTATGTAGTGTATGTAGTGTATGTAGTGTATGTAGTGCATGTAGTGCATGTAGTGCATGTAGTGCATGTAGTGCATGTAGTGCATGTAGTGCATGTTATGCATGTTATGCATGTTATGCATGTTATGCATGTTATGCATGTTATGCATGTTATGCATGTTATGCATGTTATGCATGTAATGCATGTTATGCATGTAATGCATGTAATGCATGTTATGCATGTTATGCATGTTATGCATGTTATGCATGTTATGCATGTTATGCATGTTATGCATGTTATGCATGTTATGCATGTTATGCATGTTATGCATGTTATGCATGTTATGCATGTTAGGCATGTTAGGCATGTTAGGCATGTTAGGCATGTTAGGCATGTTAGGCATGTTAGGCATGTTAGGCATGTTAGGCATGTTAGGCATGTTAGGCATGTTAGGTATGTTAGGTATGTAAGGTATGCAAGGTATGCAAGGTATGCAAGGTATGCAAGGTATGCAAGGTATGCAAGGTATGCAAGGTATGCAAGGTATGCAAGGTATGCAAGGTATGCAAGGTATGCAAGGTATGCAAGGTATGCAAGGTATGCAAGGTATGCAAGGTATGCAAGGTATGCAATGTATGCAAGGTATGCAATGTATGCAATGTATGCAATGTATGCAATGTATGCAATGTATGCAATGTATGCAATGTATGCAATGTATGCAATGTATGCAATGTATGCAATGTATGCAATGTATGCAATGTATGCAATGTAGGCAATGTATGCAATGTATGCAATGTAATTTGCAGGTAATGCAGAGGTATTGGCAGTTATGCGGTATGCAAGGTATTGCAAGGTATAGCAGTATGCAAGGTATGCAAGGTAGCAAGGTTATGCATTTATGCAAGGTATGCAAGTATCAAGGTATGCAAGTATGCAAGGTATGCAAGGTATGGCACGGTAGGCCAAGGTATGCAGGTTGCAAGGGATGCAAGGTATGTAAGGTATGCAAGGTATGCAAGGTATGCAAGGTATGCAAGGTATGCAAGGTATGCAAGGTATGCAAGGTATGCAAGGTATGCAAGGTATGCAAGGTATGCAAGGTATGCAATGTATGCAATGTATGCAATGTATGCAATGTATGCAATGTATGCAATGTATGCAATGTATGCAATGTATGCAATGTATGCAATGTATGCAATGTATGCAATGTATGCAATGTATGCAATGTATGCAATGTATGCACTGTATGCAATGTATGCAATGTATGCAATGTATGGAATGTATGTAATCTATCTAATCTATGTAATGTATGTAATGTATGCAATGTATGTAATGTATGTAATGTATGTAATGTATGTAATGTATGTAATGTATGTAAAGTATGCAAGGTATGCAATGTATGTAATGTATGTAATGTATGTAATGTATGTATGCATGTATGTAATGTATGTAATGTATGTAATGTATGTAATGTATGTAATGTATGTAATGTATGTAATGTATGTTATGTATGTAATGTATGTTATGTATGTATGTATGTATGTACTGTATGTAATGTATGTAATGTATGTATTGCATTTATGTATGGTATGTATGGTATGTATGGTATGTATGGTATGTATGGTATGTATGGTATGTATGGTATGTATGTTATGTATGGTATGTATGGTATGTATGTTATGTATGTTATGTATGTTATGTATGTTATGTATGTTATGTATGTAATGTATGTAATGTATGTAATGTATGTAATGTATGTAATGTAATGTGATGTGATGTAATGTAATGTAATGTAATGTAGGTATGTATGTATGTATGTAATGTATGTATGTATGTATGTATGTATGTATGTATGTATGTATGTATGTATGTATGTATGTATGTATGTATGTATGTATGTATGTATGTATGTATGTATGATGTATGTATGTATGTATGTATGTATGTATGTATGTATGTATGTATGTATGTATGTATGTATGTATGTATGTATGTATGTATGTATGTATATACTGTATCTATATCTATATATATATATCTATCTATATACATATGTACATAAATATATGTATCATCATGGATATATAAGGTTCCGGAGAAGGTTCCGAAGGTTCCAGAGAAGGTCTGGGAGGCTTTGGTGCAGAGCCAGGTCAGGTTCAACAAGGTTCCGGTGAAGGTCTGGGAGGCTTTGGTGCAGAGCCAGGTCAGGTTTAACAGGGTTTGAGAAGGTTCTGGTGAAGGTCTGGGAGGCTCAGGTTCAACAGGGTTCAATTCCGAAGAAGGTTTCGGGAGGCTTTGGTGCAGAGCCAGGTCATGTTCAACAGAGGTTCCGGAGAAGGTCTGGGTTCCGGAGAAGGCCTGGGAGGCTTTGGTGCGGAGCCAGGTCAAGTTCAACAGGAGAAGGTTCCGGAGAAGTTTCCCGGAGGCTTTGGTGCAGAGCCCGGTCAAGTTCAACAGGGTTCCGGAGAAGGTTCCGGAGAAGGTCTGGGAGGCTTTGGTGTAGAGTTTGGTTAGGTTCAACAGGGTTCCGGAGAAGGTTCCAGTGAAGGTCTGGGAGGCTTTGGTGCAGGGCCAGGTCAGGTTCAAAAGGGTTCCGGAGAAGGTTCCGGACAAGGTTCTGGAGAAGGTCTGGGAGGCTTTGGTGCAGAGCCAGGTTAAGTTCAACAGGGTTGCGGAGAAGGTTCCAGTGAAGGTCTGGGAGGCTTTGGTGCAGAGCCAGGTCAGGTTCAACAGCGTTCCGGAGAAGGTTCCGGAGAAGGTTCCGGAGAAGGTCCGGGAGGCTTTGGTGCAGAGCCGGTTCAGGTTCAACAGGATTTGCGGCCATTTAATTTAATTCACGGAAACCCAGCTGAGGTGTTTCCAGCGCTTGGCTTCACAGCACGCTTCAGAAAGATTTGCACAAACAAACCGTTGCGGCTGTTGTGGATACCACTGAAGTTTTTTTTTTAAATGTACATAATTACGTATATAGATATGTACATGAATATATGTATCATTATGGATATATATATATATATGTATATAAATGCGTATATATACAAATATAGGTTCCATAATATATATATATACACATGTATACAGGTATATGTCCACAAATATTTGTATCAGTATGGATGTATACATGTATATATATATATGTATGCAAATAAATGAATAAATATAAATAAATAAATAAATATATATATATATATATTAAAAAATGTCAATATATCAATATAAATAAAAATAAATAAATAAACAAATATATTGGGTAGTTCCAAAATGTCGAAAGCATTTCAGTTCCTCCGTCCAAGGGTGGAAGACTTTTCGACGGACCCTCGGGAGAGCCGAGAGGTGGACAAAGAGATGAAGGCGAACCTAGAAGTGTCAAGCGTCTTCTTTGCAAACTTGGGAATAGGATGGATGATGAATGGGTTAAAACATGGTAAAACCATTTAAAACCTATGGACATCCACAAAGAACAACTATTTTTTGGGAAATTGATGCGGGGTTTGTGATGGCTGGTCCAGGGTTTTGACCTATAGCCATTTTTCTTCCGTCCAAATGACTGGCAGGTTCGGCGGCAGATCAAGCAGATCTACTGCAAGAAAGAGCAGGATTTTGCAACACCTGACGAGTGGGATGAGTCAGCTTCTGAGAGATCAAAGTCGGAAAGAAATGGAAATACAGTAAACTTTACTATCTCCCATGGTAAAAATCCGTTTATTTTCAGTGACATGGTAAAATTTTGTAAAGATGAATGCAGTATGAACCAGTGTCACATAGTGCAAAACATGTTGGAATATCTTAGACACATTTTGGGACGTTTTCAACATCACTGCCACAATGGCTTTGGAACAGAACACGTAGTATGCCTGCACTTTGCGAGTTAAAACGTATAAGGAACTGGTTCATTATTTTCTTACGCATCTTATGCTTGGCTTCGGAAGTTACCAGTCTAAGGTATCTCATGATGAGGGAAGACATCATCTACAAGCTAGCACACTCCTCATTGAAGGATGAGGTTCGGTCCATAGAGTCGACATACCCATAGTGGGGGATGGTCATACCGTATATACCTCCATCAGGAAGATGATTGGGAAATGATAACAGCCAACATCAGCCAACTTAAGGTTTCCCAATCATATCCAAACAATGGTGGGATGACCATAACCATCATAATCCACATACCACAGCCATGACCATGTGAGCAGGTGCAAGAAACCTGGCGTCAAGTGGAGCGGTACAAGGCCTCTGGTGGCAGCATACAGTCCATGATATATAATATAAATATGATTGATGAGCTTTTGCTGAAATATATGAATGCCTCAGCAACAAACAGCAACGCATTATGTGTTGTTCTTTCATGTTCTTTGTGATTGAGTTCTGGCCTTGACCGCTGTGCCTGTGAGGCCCAACATGCCCTAGACATTCGTCAAGTTCAGAAGCAGCAGCCTCACAAGGTTGGAAACTTTGGGAGCCATGGAACTAGCTGCAGCTTGTGGCTGCTGAAGCACAGTGGTTACCGTCGAATGTCTTTATGTACATATTCATGGACATATATGTAGAATGATCATGGATATGTATCATAGAGACGAACAAAACGATAAATCATATGTGTATATATATATATATGTATACACATACATACATAACATAACATAACATTCCATTACATTACATTCCATTACATGTATGATTACATTACATGTCATAATTACATTACATGTATCATTGCATTACATTACATTACATTACAATACATTACAATACATTACAATACATTACAATACATTACAATACATTACAATACATTACAATACATTACATTACATACCATACCATACCATACCATACCATACCATACATACATACATACATACATACATACATACATACATACATACATACATACATACATACATACATACATACATACATACATACACACATACACACACATGGAATATACATGAATAAATAGATGAATGAATAAGTAAATAAATAAATGAATGAATGAATAACATAGATAAATAAATGAATGAATAAATATATAAACAAACAAATAAATGAATAAATAAATAAATAAACACACACACACCATGTGCACACAGGTATCAGTGATTTTCTGTCTGAAATTTAGGCTGAAAGCTGGTTGATTCACCTCCTATCTTATTTTTCATGTTTAAGGGTAACAGACCACGCTGAAACCTAGATATACAAGTCGAGTGTTTCGTGTCGCAGCTTTCATTTTCTCTATCTAGTGTTGGTTTCTCTGAGCGAATTGCCACAGATTCTGGAGAAAATGGCCGCTGTCATCACAGCGGAAGGAACCTTGGCAGTGCTGCGAGTTTTGGGATTATCACTGGATTGATTTTAGGGGAAATCTCCACCGGAAACCGTGTTTTTTTTTTTTTTAACAATGAATTATTGTCGATTTTTCCTTCAACGAATCCAATGAGACTAGTGTCCTTCTGCTTTTACTTCTGTTCGGTGTTGCTCTGCTCTTGTTGTGGCGCAATATTCTTGCGAGAGGGTCCAACACTGAGACGTCATTAGCCATATTAAAAGCCTTGACGCATTCTTGCAACATGCGGTGTCCATGCAAAAAGATGTTTCTTGAAAAAACAAGATACCAAGGAACTTGCAAAGGAGCTGCAGGGTCATTTTACGACAGACATGCGATACAAGTGCTGTTGCACGAGCCAAGACCGGTGAGAACCATGGGTGAATCAATCCGCACGCCGCAGCTGACAACTGCAGCAACAAAGGAAACAGGGGAGGTACATGCACACAGGTGGAACTTTTTGGGTATGTAATTTGTGTATATTTGTGTTTCCTTCTTTGGGAACTTGGTGCGTTGGAACTCCCATATGCTTCATTCAAAGCCGCACAAACTCGCTGTGGTTGCTGTGATGTGATCTTCCTCGTGGTTGTTGTGGTTGTGGTTGTTACTGTCTTGCCGTTGCCGTCATTCTTGTCCTTGTTGTTGCTGTTCGCTGCAGGATGTTGGTCATTTCCAAGAGACGTTTTCTCATGGGCGCGTAGCATTCGGGCACCAAACCTTGCAGAAAAGCAGCTGAAAAGCATTAGCAAGAAACACCACCTGCATAGAATGCCGGCTTAAAAAAACATAGAATCCATGTTTTATCTAGACATATTTCAACTGAATCATCTTTCGAGAGCTGATTTTGTTGCACTCCGGCTGATGCTGGCAATTCTCGGAAGACCTCCGTGCCTTTGTTTCTGATCGATGAAAAACCAAGGAGACTTTGCCGGCCGTGTCAATGCCGACTGGGCCGCAGCTGCACAGTTCCACCATCCTTTGCAGGCCATCAACGATCAGTTCGAAACGTGGGCATTGCAGCATGGGTCAGACTTGGGTACCTTTTTTTATTGGACCCAGTAGTACTAAATAGGAACCTGTGGTCCTGTGGTATTCTGAGCCGAAAAAACTTTTATGTAAAATTGTATGAAGATTTAGAAAATTTAGAGATCAATTGCTCCCTTCAGGATCAATACAACGATCTCCTCAAAGAGTTGCCAGAGAGCCCCGTGGGCAGGGATGCCAAGACGACACCGTCCCAAATATGAAACAGATGGCGCTTCCATTTGCAATTGTTGGAAACAGAAAAGGTGCATGGCTGGTGCAAAAAAAAACATGGACTGAGCAGTTGAACCGCATCTTGAGTGGCAAAAATACAGCGAGCTGTGGAACAGTCAGGGTAACAAAACTGTCGTGCAAATGCATGGTCCAAGTTTATCATTCATGAGTTGGACATGCTTAAAGAGTGCCACAGTTGTTCTGTTAGGTGCTCGAACCTCGCCAATGGCGCCGCAGCCGCTGCTTGCGGGAAGCGCGCCAGCCACTGGAGCGGTGCAGAGTGGCGGTGGCCAGGAACCCGATATAGGCTGGGGGACCAAGAGGGAAAATGTTGGAGACGTTGGGTGCTATGAGATGTTGTAAGATGTTGTAGGTGCTGTGATATTTTCGAAAGGACGATTGGGCCTGACTTCCAAGGTTTGCAGAAGGCACGCTACTTCTTTTTGGCTGATTTGTCCAGCTTGGCTTCTGACTTCTCCGTTGCGGCCAAGCTTCAAAAAAGATCCTGATTTATGTAGCACGGCAAGCGCCCTCACCACATGGCGGCAAGCGCCCTCACCACATGTGAACAGCTGAACCTAGCACAAGTGGTCGAAGTGATGTGCTGATGCGCAAGAAAAGGTCTCTATGGAGCTGAACTGCAGTACCTGGCTGAAGTTTTCTTCATTTATCTAAGTTGAACAGTTGAACTTGTCCTTCAGATCTTTTTGAACATTTTGTGCAGACGTGGACGCGATTATATTTTTGTAGTGAGATTCAACGAATCAAAATGCGAATTTCCAGAGGACCACACAATTTCTTTTCAGATAAGATTAGTTTTCATGAACGAATCTTAAGTTTTTGATGTTTCCTTGTGATCCCAGGTACTTGAAATTCACTCTATGGTGCCAGAATGAATCTCAGGTACGATGGGCCAGAACATCCTTTTGTGGGGGGAGATACTTGCCGCACAATCGATAGCTTCTGAACATCCAAAAATCGATTGTGAGTGCAGCATATCTGAGGCCAAAGATCCCAAGTTGTGTTGAACTTGGCAAGGAATGTGAACAGAATAACTGGCCTAGCTGCTGCAGCTGCATACCCATCTCATAGGCTGTGTACGAAGATCTATTCAGGTGTGTGGCTTGAGTGAGGAAGGCCGATGACCCCTCCACTTCTTTTTCGGCCGGCTTTCAGAAGTACAGACATATCCGAGAACTGAGTTCTTTTGCATTATCCAGGGAGACAAGTGGAAGCAAGAACGAATATGGGATGGTCAATGTCAATACATCTTGGTATTACATTTGGTGTGGAAACCAGAGTATCAGGCTTTTGTCCCATACTCATACAGGCATGCAAGATTGATTTCAATTGATTCTGCCAGGCAACTCAGTTCCAGATCAGAAGCACGGAGCAAAAGAAGGTGCGATGTTGTAGTACAAAACTTCTGGCGGAAATCATTCTCATGTGTTACCCTCTGGTAAACTAACATAACTCAACTATGGAAAATCATCATTTTTAATGGAAAAATCAACTCTAAATGGCCATTTTGAATAGGGTAACTCCAATGCCCAATGCCATAAACCAAACAATTGGGGAGTCGTGTGATGCAGAGGCGATGTTCACAGCTGACATTGCCAAGTCCACCGCAGACATGGCCGCTGCCTCCACACATTTGGTGGAGCGCTTTTGGTTTCAGCGTCATGCAAGAGACTGTGAGGTGGAACCATGTAAAAAAACGGTTTTCTACTTGTAAAAAAACAGATCAAGAGTCTATTTTGTCGAAATTTAAGATTGCAAGATGAAGAATGGTTTCGGAGTCGAGACACCGATGTACCGATGCGGTGTTTTTTTTTTTTCTGATAAAGAGTCAAGTCAATTTCATGTGCAGATCAAACAGCTTCAAGGACAAAGTGCTGGCTAGCGTATTGGGCTGTAGGCTATTTGGCATTGCCAAGATGTAACCTTTCCCTACTGCAGATTTGGGGATGCAACACGACCAGGAGATTGCTCAGTATGAGTCGACCGATGAAGCAGACCTTAAGGTGGATTCAGCTGCTGTGTGGATGTTTGAGGTTTAAACATCATATTGGGTATATGATTTAGTATTATATATATATGTCTGAAAAATGGGGTCTATCCACCCTTAAATAGCAATTTCAATGATGATTGACCAGTGGAGTTAGGGGTACCTCAGATTCTTCAGGTAGGCGATCTTTCTTAACCTGCCTGTCGGGCACTGGTTTCTTGAAGATTGCTTAAAGGGGCCTGAAATGGCAATGTACACACAGACACAGACTAACCACTAAACACACAGAGTGCATATTACATACAGAGCCATATCTTGTTGCAAGACGTGACAGTTGTAGAACATGTGTTCCACTCGCAGAGCAAAGAAGGGTCCATACATCATCCGTGTTCCTGCAGGCAGCTACACTCTTGAGGGAGAAAGAAGCTGCAGATTTTAAGGCGCTGAGAATGGTTTCACACAGACGCGTGGTGCTTGGTCTTGGATCATCTATTTGTGTAGCTGTCCAGCTGTCAATCTGTGTGTCAATATGTATCTCTCTGTCAATCTATCTGTCTGTCTGTCTGTCTGTCCATCCATCCATCCATCCATCCATCCATCCATCTATCTATCTATCTATCTATCTACCGAGCATTTACTTTCATCCCATCCAACCTAATCCAAGCTAATGTAATCTAATGGAATCTAATCTATCTATCGAGCATTTATTTTCACTTGGTCTACATAGTTTTGCTCACCCAGAAGCGTCTCACGTTTGCAGCCTTTGGCAATGTTTGAAGAAGTTTGGCATCCATGTTCGCTTGAATCCATGCAAGATCTTCTGTCACCTGCGAGCGTCAAGCTCCTTAAGCCGTGTTTGGAATCGTCTAAAACGGAGTCCTTGATATGTATATATATATATATATATATATTACAATTACATATATATATATAACATATATATATATATACACATTCCACAGAGCCCGGTAGCGAGCTCATGTGGGTTTGTGTGATCATTGGGGCACCCCAAAACATCATGGTTAAGACGGTTAAGAGTTGAGAATCCTTCCCCTTGATGGCCATTTAGGGGGCCCCCTGGGCCCCCATTTTGGTAAATCTGATGGGAAACACCATGCTCTCCTGTGGATTTTCCATGAAAACTACATATTGAATGGGTTGATATATCCATATAGCCAAGTTACTCGCCATACCAGTCAGACCATCCATGTATACGAATGCCGACCGATCCATACACATATATATATAATATATATATATATATATTGATTGAATTATAGCGACCTCACTGCGACCTCACTATAATCATAGTTAGTAAGGGGAATCATCCCCAAATGGCCTTAATTCAGGTTAGTGAAAGAGTATAATTTACCCATATATATATAATATATATATATAATATATATATATATTATATATAATATGTATATATAATATAATATATATATATATATTATATAATATATATATATATAATATATATATATATGCACATACATATACATATACACAGTAGATTATATCTCTATACACACATGTTTTCACCATCGAAAAACCATCCGTGTGTGAGGCCTTGGAGCTGGAATTGGTGAATGGCATCCGCACCACCCAGGCAGCACAAGTGAAGCTACAGCAGGACATTGTGGCTGCTGGTGGGGAGGTGGCAGCTGGGGCTCAAAATGCCAGCAGCCCAAGAGATGGTGATGGGGATGGGGAAGATGGAGATGGTTGTCCCAAGGGGACACCAGTGGTTGGTGAGTTTTGAGGGTTGACGAATATCCGTGGTGAAAAGAAATCCGTGAAAATTGGGGGCCAAGAAGTTAAAAAAATGTAACATTTGCACCAAAATGGCGACTTGAATGTGGAGAAACTGATGATAAACCGGCGATGTTTGGGGCCGAATCTTCAGCCAGATCCATATTGGGCAATGAAGATGACAGAGGGGGATGGTTCAGGGGTTCAATCCACTTCCTCTCAGACGGGGATCGGTGAAAATTTAAGGCATTGACTTTTGTTTTGTTTATCAAGTAAAGCATCACTTTGGTGGGGGTATTCAATTCTGACCCAATCCCAAATCCCAATTGACGGCCGGCAAAAAAGTGGGAAGTTGGTGAATTTTTCTGAGGCCGCATTCTTACAGCAGAAACAGCCCAGCAAGGCAAGACTGAGCTCCTGATTTTGGAGGTAATTGGAGTCATTGGTAGACTCAAAAAAAGGATGCTGGGGGTCTTTTTTAGAGGTGCATCCTTTGTTTTCGTCACCGAAAAAAACACGAGGCTATAAACAGCATCAGACCCATAACGTGACTTGCTTTCAACACGGTGCGTTGCCACACACTTTCTGAGTAGCCAACAAAGCATTGGGGTGGAAGGCCATGAAAGCCTTCAGCGATGTCATGGTGGCGACTGGGCGCAAAAAACAGGGGACACCTTGGGACCTTTGTTGCATGGCTCCTGATGTTGCAGGCCATTTCCACACTGATGGCTGCAGTAAGTGCAGTATCTACTTGTCACTTTTTTTGGCAACTTTCTGCTTGTAGGTTCATGCAGCTGTGGCAGATAAAAAGCAACAAGTTGCTTATTGATCAAAGAATGGTCTTGTTTATCTTAGATAGGCCTATGTAGTCGCTAGCTCCATAATTTCCACTGATTGCACACAGACTCTTTGAGACGCTTCAGTGTGCATATCCAAGTAGACAACTCAGCAACCAATTGGATGGCTCACAGTTGGATCCGGAGGCCATGGCCATGGGCTAGTTGCCTCTTAGAGTCTTGGCTTTCTTTTAGGATGGGAAACATCTTGGGCCGCTCAGATGAAGAAGAAGAAGCGGCTGAGCAGAAAGCGCTGGAAAGGTGGCGGCCCGAGGTTGCTGGTCAGACTGTGACAGTCAAGAAGCGACTGCAAACCCAGCATTCCCATGATGATCTGGGGAGCCAGGGAGATGCGGACAATATGTCAGCTGCTTCCTCTGTTAGCCAGATGGAGGAGGAACAAGATGCAGCCGTTGAGATGGAAGAACTTGATGAGGAAGACCAGGAAGCACCAGGGTGGAGGCTCTGACAGTGAGGACGATGAGTTCGATGCAGAGGCTGAGGCAGCTGCAAAGCGTGATGAAGCGCGAAAGAGGAAGAAGATCATCGTCCGCATGGAGTTTGAGCCATTGCTGTCTCTAAACGAGCCCCTGGGTACAACATTAGAGGAGCCAGCAGAGATTTTCTCAACTGGAAAGGGCGGAAAGCGCAACAAGCGCATGGAAGAGGCTGCTTTGGAAGATGCCAAAGCTGCCTAACGAACCAAATCGAAGACGGCAGCCGCCTGGTTAAATGAGATGAACCTCGAAGATTGCCTTCTGGCTGAGCTCTCCCAGGGTGTCAGCGAAGACCCGGATGAGCTGCGTTTCGCCCTGGAGCAGAGCAAGCGTTTTGTGGTGGATGACCATGTCGTTGAGAAGACCGTGGTGCAACGAGTCTTCGATGTTATGGAGAGTGACATTGAAACCCGTAAAAGATTCCCTGGGAGAGCTCAAGATTCGAGTGCATGGCCAACGACATTGAGCTCATCGAACGGGTAGACCCCGAGGAGGAGCAACGTGCCAAACGTGAAGAGAAGGTGCTGAGAAGAAAGGAGAAAATGACCAAGAAGAAAGAGCTGCAAAAAAGGAGGAAGAGAAATAAGAAAGAGGAAGATGGTGAGGACTCAGACTCTTCTGAGGAGCTGGGTGGCCAGGATGCAGCAGAGAAAAAGGCCCTGGCCTTCCGAAGGTTGCAGGTGCAAATCAAAATTGAAGAATTTCTCAAGTCCTACACCCGCGGGCAGAATTTGGTGAAGATCAATGCCCGAGGGAAGAGATATGCCAGGCGGGTGTATGTTGATACAGCCAAGCGAGCCCTGGTGATTCAAGGAGCCAATGGGCCGAAGATCTTCCCCTTTGCAGCAATGAAAGAGGTGGATCTTGAGACGCGAACCACCAAGGAAGGCCGGGTTGAAACCTTGCTGATTTGTGCCATTGAGAAGGAAGGACGCATTGTGAAGGAGCTGACTCCTGCATTCCCTGACCAAGCAAAGGCCAGTGCCTTTGTGAACTGCGTCACGCTATTTTCTCTGGCACTTCGGAGAACACAATCTGACTGAGCTGAAGATCTACCTCCCACGACAAGCTGGGAATTTCCTTGACTCCGAATTTTTCGACGATCATGTTCCATTTGAATGGAGCTGGATTTCACCTCGGCACCCCTGCCGAAAGGCAGGCAGATGCACCGGAATAGCCGGGATGTGTTAACGAAAGATAGCTTGAGAAAATCAGAGAAGCCTTAGGCCTTAGGCCAATCATCATGAGATTATATAGCCTCGTGTTTGAGCAATCTGGACATGGCGCAAGTCGCCAACATCTTTTGCTCATGCCCAAGGAATTGACAAAGGCGGCTGCTCTCACTAGCAGTGACGACATGAAGACGTGCGCAGCCTGCAGTCTGGCGGAATTGAGATTAGTACTGCTCCAAACTTGTCATTGGAACAAACATCTTGATGAACTCTCACACCACTTCAACAGAGCTCATGGAATGGGAACTTGCCATACGCAGGATCACTCTCTGTGTTCGCTGCGTTCGTTGATGCCTTTGGGAGTACTCTTGAGGTACCCCTCTCTTTTGGAGCAGCTTGAGCGATCAGTAGCAGCCCTCAGTATACTAAGCTTGGATTCTTTCGCTCATCAAATACTGTAGTACACCTATATCACCTATGCACTTTGGCAAAAGCAAAGCTACAGGTTTCTCCACACTGACTACATATATCGGCAGTAATCAGATGGCAAAAAACAGCTGTTCCAAACCGGCTTCGAACACGTTTCCAAAAGTGACCCGCCTCCCCGGCCCAGGGAGCTTCCCAGCACAGGATTTGACAGGCCATTGCTATGGTGACAGCATGTCCAAACACCAAGGCTGACGGAGAAGTACACTTCCAAAAGCCCCAGGACTTGCGGAAGACTTTGGGCCCTTTGGGCCTTGATTCTCAGTGGGTAGCTTTGAAAGAATGCACATCACCAAGTGCTAGTCGACTACCACCAATCCTAGCCTCAGTGGGAATGGATTTGCAGAGGGAAAACCATGTCGTATCTATCTTTCGTGGATTCGAGTTCATTTGCCCCGTGTTTGCATTCGTGCTCATTTGTCCTGGCAGTCTTGCTAATGGCTTGTGGGTAATTTCATTAATTGCAAAACAATAGGCAGAGAAATAGTAAAATCCAGAAGTGCATATTGCAAAACAAATCACTCCTGTTTAATTATTGCGCATTCAAACGCACAGGGTAAGAGACCGTTCCTTTGGGTTCAGGTTCCATTTTGTTTCGCCGATGCATTTTTGGCCCGAGCAACGAGACAAACCTATCGTAGCCAAGCAGCAAGGTAACATCAGCTGGCGAATGACGCCTGACTTTGAAACTGGATCTGACAACAAGAATTTCAATATGTCTCTGTATTTGTCAACTTTTAAACTATGATAGTCATATACATAAAGTAGAGAAACCGATAGCTCATAGACCCAATGAATCTGTTGGAACAGGCTCGTGCCTCCTGAATCCCCCCACGACCATGTTCAATTGCTGCCTCTCTGAGCCGGAAACCAATAGCGAGGAGGCACCGCAGATCCATTTTCTTTCACACAGCGGGCCAACTTTGGCCAGTCTTAAGGATTTGAAACCAACCAATTTTTGACATGGGACACTTGGAGCGATTTTTGACTTTTTTTTGGGCCTCCTAATTCCCCACATCACTATGTGGGTTTTTTGTTCGGCATCCCGCGTCCTCCCGCCGTCCTCCCTCATCCTCCTCCATCACCTCACATTCACGCCGGTGGCTGTTCCGCGTGGCAGGCGTGGCGGCACTTGGTGAACTTGGTGACTTTCTAGACCGCCTGTTTCGTGTGGCATGTGTTCGCTTGGGCCGGCTCGGCTGTTTGTGGTGGCAGACGCTCTATCGGCTGTGGTGGTGGCGGCCGTCGCGGCTGTTTCGTGTGGCAGGCGTAGCACGTGACTCTCTAGACTGTCTGTGGGGGTGGCTGCTTGGGCCATTCAGCTGACTTGGTGACTGCCGCAACTGTTTCGTGCGGCAGGCGCAGCACTTGGTGACTCCCCAGACTGTCTGGCTGCGGGGGTGGCCGCTTGGGCCGCCTCTGTGTATCGATCGATCGATCGATCTATGGATCTATATCGATCTATCTATCTATTTGTCCATCTCTTGAACCCTCTGCCTTCAAACCTATCTGCTTAATCTTTCTCTCTTCTCCATCAGATCATCATCCACTCCCGCCATCCTAATTCACCACCTTCTCTGCATAACAATCGGAAGGCTTAACATGTGGGGTTATTTGGTCCTTTAATTTCAAATCTGCCCCTTGAACAAAGATCGTTTTGGCACCATATGGATCTGAAACCAGTCATTTGGAGAGCCAGTATTTTGAACCATAGCACACCCATGCGCCCTGGAAACAGTTTCTTCTAGAGGTTTTCAGAGGGTTCGAACTACCCCCGGACTCAATCATTGGACTCACCACAGCTAGGGTTCTGAGCTCTTCAGTCCAAAAACAGTTTTGGCAGGTGGCAGTGCGGAAGGATGTAAGACTCAACACAAATGAGTGGCTTGGACAGTCAAAGCAGCTGCAGATGTTTTTTTTGGAAAAAACTAAACAGTCAACAACTTGGATGGACTGAACTGGCTTAAAGCGGTATGCAACGCATCTTTTGCACACACTGATGAGGACAACCTTTGATGTTCATAGCAGGAAACATACCTGGGGCTGGGAGGGATTAGAGTTTGCTATTGGTGACGGTTCTTTCAGATCTTGAAAATTTGAGAATGTAGTCTGACAGCAAAGCCTCGATGAGTAGGCTTAGGATTTGCATGACCGTGAACTCTCAATAGGAAACAAGAAAAACTGAGGAAACATGGGAGTGCGGCAGCGCGGCAAACTGCAATGATAAAGTATCCAATCTTACCGGACATGGCTGGGATTTCAACCATCCCCATCCATTGGAGGTTTGCCAGAAATGGCTTCGTTACATGTTTTTGGGGTGCGCAGCTAAGGAGCGAGAGGAACGACTCACCAAACAGTGAGGGCGCCCAAAAGAGAAGACCCTCAATTCGCACGAAGCAGAGCGAGGTCGCAGGGACTGGATCAGGGGTGGTGGACAGGCAACCTTTGGTGGAATCATTTTTCCATCATTAAAGATCTATCATTTTTGGATATTTTTGGAATTACTGTCCTGTAAGATGTACTGTACATTTATAGGGATACAATTTGGCGACAGGAGGTAGATGAAGCATGAAAAACACTTTGCAGCTTGCAATATGAATGGCTGACCCGGGGGGATCCCCGTCGTGTAGTTGCTTTGGACTCTGCGGTGGAAACTGCTCCGTGCCAGGGATACAATTCAGAAATTCACGAGGTCTATGAAACTTGGCCGCAGATGAAAATTCATTGCGCACATCATGTGTGGACTAGAAAGTGCACGTTCCGTCCTATTGCATTCGCATTCCTTCCTTGTCATGAAGACTAGCCGCAGCCAAATTCCAACGTGTAAAGCCTTGAAATCTAACCTGCCTCAACGAATTCCAGCCTAGGAGCATGACAAAGACCACTTAGAGTGGTGCGGTGCTGAGGACTAGCTGCAGAAATAAGATACCCCTTTGGAATCCTTTGGACTCATGCTTCGTATTTTCCAATTTGACTTTGGTGCAGGGCGCGAAACAACTGGATTTTGGAAGTTTCCCTGGTTCCCCCTTGACTTGATACGGCAATGCCAACTTTATTTAGATTTGTTTGGAAATAGTTCCCATGTTTATTTATATTTATGGCCATCAAATAAAAAATAGGATGTTTCAAACCATCGGCGGCTTTAGGCTGAACATGTCTCTGAAGCACCTTTGGCCAGAGATGAGCGAGGCCGAAACCACTCATCTTTTTGGTGAGTAAATCATCCTGTGTATTTGGGTAGCCAATTTAGACCCATAATTATATATAGTTATATAATCATAATCATACATACTTGCAGTCAGTCACACACACACAAACTATACATCATAACTCTATTTTGCGAGGTGTACTGCTTCATGCATTTTTTGTGTTCTGGACATTCCCTTTGCCATGAAAGCCCCTTGAGGCTCGCAGGTCCTAGTCTTCCAGACAAGACCCCTAGTCTTCCAGACAAGACCCACGAGAAACTTCTGGAATACTCATTTGCATGGATGCGTTCTATCTTCAAAACCACGGGTGTTCCTGGGGGTTCGTACTTGCAAAATTTTCGCTATATGTTCCTTTATTTTCTGTAGTACATTTTCCCATATTTTCCCATATCATATTTTCTCATATCATATTTTCTCAAGTTTTTCTATATTTCCTCATAGTTTCCTATATACATTTTTTCCCACATTTTCCTTGGAATGGGACCCATCCCCCATTTTGGACGGAGCCACGTGGCCGTGGTGTCACTCTTCAGGCTGCCAGAGCTGTGGCGGTCGGTCAAAAGCTTGGAACTGTCAAATTGGCAAAGGCATGGTTGTTGATATACACCATACTATGATATATGTACATATATTTAAAGGCTTACGCCTGACAGCCGGGCGCCGGCCAAGCAACGACTTTTGGCTTATGGTGTGGGAAGATTGGGCCGAGATTCTCCGCGCAAACCGAGGGAGGGCTATGTTAAGAACTGAGGCAGGCATAATGCGCAGCGCTTGCCTGTATGGAAGCAGCCTGGGCCTATGTTGAGCGCTGGTTGTGCTATGTTGAGCGCTGGTTGTGCCCATGTTGGGCCAAGTCGGGTCCATGTTGAGCCATCTTGGGCCCATCGGCTTATGTTGGGCCAAGTCGGGCGCATGTTGAGCCATGTTGGGCCCATCTTGGGCCTATATTGGCCCAGGTTGGGCCTATGTTGGGAACATCTTGGGCCCACGTCGGGCCTATGTTGCGCTCATGTTGGCCTATGTAGGGCCTATGTTGGCCCTGGGAGCTATGTTGGGGCCATGTTGGGGCCATCTATGTTGAAACGATCTTAAGATGCTATTTTTTCCGCCCCGGGCCCCTTCCTGGAGCCCAAAACCATGTAAAACCCGAGGTTTTTTAACATCGGCAAGATGAAATTCCTTTAGCGAGCCTACTTTTTGACCCTCCGGAGCCACGGCTCATTGGAAAAACACAGTGTTTCGCGACTTTCCTACCTTTTTGCGCGCCTGGATCTTCTTTCTTCTGAGACTTTCTCTTTTTTGATCTTCTTTCTTATTCTCTTCTCTTCTCTTCTCTTCTCTGACTCTTCCCATCTCTGCTTTTCATCTATCCATATTGTCGGAAGTTTGACTTCTAAACTTCCTTCGATGAGACTATCTTTTTGCATAGTATCATTTCAGAGGCCAACGCAGCAAATGGCCGACTGTGTAGCAATATGCGGAGGTATCATTTCAAATGTCGGTCACCAGGTCACTAGACCCCCGCTCCAAGGCAAAGTCCTCCCATCGATTAAAGCCAAACTTCTAGCGAAGGCGCCTCGGAGGGTGACATGTACCGAAGACTGTACTGGACAGGAAAATTATTCAGGCATCCAAGTTCAATCAAAAGATCTTGTTTCTTGCTGTTTTTTTTTGTGGCTGGCCAGGGAAAGGGTGCGATCTATGATGCATCTTGCTTGCAAAGGACGCGGACAAAAACACTTTGGAATGCGGTATATAGGCGCAAACACCTGACAACATGAACTTAGAACAGGATGTCAAAAAGTCTTTCCCTTTTTGAACAGGTGCATCATCAGAAATCATCGATAAATGGCATACAAATATAGGATTTGCATGGATTTTGGATATTTTGGGGGAGTTGGTCCCAATTTTTTCACCATCCCTCAGTGACTCAGGTGAAGTTTTCAGAGTTTACCCTGGGTTCTCAGCCCGTTGTGTTGGGTCCAATCCAGGCGCGATGGGGGGCGGTGACCCATTTGATCCATTTAAACAACATGGGAATTGTGGGAACAACAAAGGGAATCTCATGGGAATATCATGGTATAAACAACAATCATTTGGGAATATCCATGGGAATATCCAAGTGTTTTTATTCCGATGTCCAAAGTATGGCCTGATGAATGACCTGGCAGGTCTCACGAATGCCTCGAGGATCTGTGCGTGTTCGTGTCCTATTGGATTCTTGGCGGATGACGACCTCACCACAAGTGATGGTTGAGTTTGGTGGAAGGCATTCCAGGTCTGGGGTCTACTGTAACGATTTAATCTCAATTATCCAGATTCACTGCTTGCTAAAATCCGGTTTCCTTAGACGCTTTAAGCATCTTTAAGCCATGTCTGGTTTTCCTTATGTTTCTTTTGTTCCTGCAAGTGCATGTGTTGACTTAGGACTACAGGTCCGACATGCACGTGGAAATGGAATTGGTTTCTTGGCACGCACAGGTCTGTACAAAGAGATTGAATTCGGGGTTTCATACATGTCACTTGGATGCGGTGGGTTTTCATTACTGGCTTGCCATATTGAGGACACGTCCTATGGTGCCTCATCAGCAATGGAGTTCCAAGCAGTGGGGATGATGGGGATGTGGAGGAGGATAGCCCCATTTGGGGTATCCCCCTTATTTTTTGGCAGATCCATATGCCGTGCTAGAAGATCCCTTGTAAGGCTTGGATGTCATGATTTTTCATCTCGGGGCAGGCACAGTTGCTATTAAGATGGGTTACTGTGAGATTCCCACCTTAATACCCAGTTAGATGTTCATCTAGTCAGTGAAACGGGTCTGGAAAAGTGGCCCTGGGACTTGCACCGCGCACTCTGAGGGCGGTGGTGCTTTGGAATGAGGGACTTCCGGCCGCTGGGTCAAAATTTGCAGGGCATCGACTGCTTCATGTGAAACAAAAGGTCTTTATCCATGCTTGTCCGAAACTCGGGATTTCCTCTGAATTGAAATACTTGACATACTTGAAACATCTAGTTTATAAGAGTATGTTCTTTCTTCCATATACATTACATGACATGACATTACATTCACACACACGTATATATATATATGTATATGTACACACACACACATACGCACACACTCCTTTTGTTGATGTTGAATTTGATGATCAACCATGGGATTTTCAGGACAATTAGCAAAGTCTTCTGGCTGTCTCAGGATTGTGGGAGAGATGGTCACGCGTGTGCGTGGGGAACTCAGGGCATCAAACCGAATCGCAGAGAATATCTTGGGCATTGGTTCATGACGATGGTGGATGTGAACCATTTTTTTGATATGGAAAAATAGAGCCAACAGCCAAACAGCTAAAATGGTGCTGTTTGTCGAGAACAACTGCTTTGATTTTGCTGAAATGGTGCTTCGAGGTCCACACATTCCAGACTCTCCCGGCACCGGCAGTGTTTCAGTCTTTTTCGTGGACCCGCGGGGAGAGCCCAGCGCCAGGGAGCTGCGCCAGCCTTGAGTTGATCTGGATCTGGTTGGGTCTTTATTTTCTTTTCTCCTCTCCAGACTCCAGATATTTCATTAATAACCATATTATGTCCATAAATGTCATCCCTGTGGCAAAACCAAGGCCGAAGGTGGACTTCACATTCTCTGGGAACATGTCTTTCGGGAATTTCCCGTTCGTCAAGGCGCTGGAGAGAGTTGACCTAGACACGTAGTGTTCAAAACCCCTCTTGATGGTTGCGAAAGTTACAAAAGTTATATATGGGATTCTACTACCATTGATATCTTTTTGGGGATTATCATCGTTATCATCCATTATCATCATTATCCAGCAGTTCTTTGATGTTATTTTCACGGCGCCAGGAAGCCATCAGACACAGTGTCGACTCATTGATCGCAGAAATGTTTTGGACCTCAGCACTGGGGGTTATCTGGGGTTGAAGCCACAGATACGATTGGCTGGGTTGCTGTACATGGTTCAATATAGCTTCCCTTTCATTTCCATATAGAGCTTCCTTTTCATTTCCAAATCTGTTCAATTTCTAGATGTACAGCAGTTTTCTCCCCTCTCACAGAAAACTGCTGTATCTTTGCATGATTGCAGTTTGCCCTTGTATCTGCAAACCAAGAATTTATGATAGGCTAGGTAGATTTTCGATGCAGACCAGACTCACGCATACCATTCGCATATACACACCCTCACTGGCTACATCCTTGAATCTGCTTTTGCGGAGACATGCACACATTGTCATCGCCACACACACACATATATATATGTACACATATATATATATATGTATAGATATATATACATATACGTACACATATACATACACACATATACATACATACAATGCAATACAATACATTACATTACGTTACGTTACATTACATTACATACATTACATACATTACATACATACCATACATTACATACATACCATACATACCATACATACCATACATACCATACATACCATACATACCATACATACCATACATACCATACATACCATACATACCATGCATACCATACATACCATACATACCATACATACCATACATACCATACATACCATACCATACCATACCATACCATACCATACCCATACATATACATACATACATACATACATACATACATACATACATACATACAGACACACATACATACATACATACATACATACATACATACATACATACATACATACATACATACATACATACATACATACATACATACATACATACATACATACATACATACATACATACTACATACATACATACATACATACATACATACATACATACATACATACATACATACATACATACATACATACATACATACATACATACATACATACATACATACATACATACACACACAGACATCCATACACACATACATACATACATACATACATACATACATACATACATACATACATACATACATACATACATACATACATACATACATACATACATACATACACACACAGACATACATACATACATACATACATACATACATACATACATACATACATACATACATACATACAGACACACACATATATATATAAACATACGCTCGCATTTTTTAACACACTCTAACACACACACACACCACAACCGTTGCACTCGGAACAACACAGCACACATTTCCGTAGCATGGCCTGACGCAATGACACAACGTTGCACATATCACATATGACATGACCTGATACGGAATTTCATTGCAACACTTTGTAAATCATGTGCAGACGTCACCTATCTGCTGAGGTTTGTTCTGCCGAATGTAGCCACCCAACACATCAGCCTTACAGTGTCGGCCCTAAAATCCCAGAAAAGGTTGAGTTTGGCATATTTCTAAATGTCCTGAAAAGGGATGCCAATCTACGCAGAGCCTTGTAAGATGGATGTTTAGCAAAAAACATGGCGGAAACTGGAAACATTGCAGAACTCTCTGGTGCGTAGAGATCTACACACTTTTGGTTTCCATAGAATCACGTGGAAATATGTGGAAACAGCTTTCCAAACAAATGACATCCAGTCTTGAGGATCTGAAAATGTACCCTTTGGTCTTTTCGAGCCCTGTTCCGGTGGGGATTTTGCTGCTGCCTCAGAGTGAGTCGGGATTGCAGACAGAGCCGTAGTGCATGGAACTGTTGGGTTTTCTCAAGATTCTAGAGGGCCATGAAGCTTTGGACAGTAAATTCGCATACATTGTATCATATTAATGTATATTCATGTATTTATACACACATTCTTGCGATTCTTCAATGAAGATTCTAGTGCAACCTTGGGGTCGGCTGTCCATGTTGCTGGAAGCTTCTGCAAAGTCTTGAGGAGCTGAGCTACCCTTTGTAATCAAACACGGCTGGGAAATTCCCAATCAAAATGGAGGTTTAGTTTGCAAACAAAATCATCTATAAATGGAAGTTTTAATAGGAAATTCTCATTTTAGAGCTGGGAGAATCATTGAACTCAATTCAATAGGATTTTTCCACTATCAGGATTTTCCACAACTTAACATATTTTTCTCCATTCATCAATGATGGACTTTCCAGCCATCGGCGGAGCCGCTTTCAGCGCAGCGGAGGCGAGTCACTCTTCAAGAGACGGTCCTGGAATCCAAAATAGTGGAAGTCGCATCCGAGGACGACGTTTTTGGCTGGGAAAATGGAACCCCAAAGTGGATGGTTTATAGTAGAATTAGTAGAACATCCTCCAAACATGGATGATTTGGGCTAACCCCATTTTAAGGAACACAAGCCTGCCTAACCCCGAAGTGAGGTTTCTCAAACCTCGAAGAGCTTTGTTTCTTAACCTCGTAGTGGTGTTATGCGTAACCATCAAGCCATTTTAACCATAGACTATTATATATATATAGATTAGATAGATATACAGATACATATATAAGGAACTACTCGTACTTAGAATATGCCGAAATTCAATCCTGCCCCCTCCAAGGAAAAAAAGGTACATAGAATATATTTTATTTTTAGAAGATTTTAGAAGATCCATTTTAGAAGATCCAATCCTGAAAAATTCAGCTCCACCAAAAACCCTGGGCTCCCACCATGGATCACCATGGTTTTTTCCACTGCAATCGCGAACTTAGTTCAACTTCTTCAATTTCTTTTTACAATCTAAACATATTTCGTAGGCATTCATGTCGGTTCCCGCCGTTTTGCCGCGACAATCTCGAAAGAAATGCAACTGATGCAGGTGGCAGGGAATGTGTCATTAAATCTGCCAAATTCCTATGTTTTTCAATCAAAATTTAGATTTTTTGACATTGACCGTGAAAGCCATGAAAACCAGGGGAAGGTTCATCCATTTTTGAGGAACGCCACCTAATTCCATTGGTTTTCATTGCAAAGCAGTTTTTTGTTCATTGTTCTGCGACACCGGTCGTGGGGGTAACCTTAGGTGAGCTTGAAAAACTCATTTTTTTGAATACAATTCATCCTTTTTTTTGAGGAACACCACCTAATTCCATTGGTTTTCATTGCAAAGTAGGTTTTTCTCATTGTTCTACGGCACCGGTCGTGGGGGTACCCTTCGGTGAGCTTAAAAAAATCATTTGTTTAATACAATATGAAAAACAAATAATCATTTCAGGGGACATCAGAAACTATATTTTTTGACACCAACCGTGAAAGACCATGAAAACCAAGGGAAGGTTCATCCATTTTTTGCGGAATACAACCTAATTCCATTGGTTTTCATTGCAAAATATTTTTTTTTAATCATAGTTCTACGACACCAGTCGTGGGGGTAACCTTAGGTGAGCTTGAAAAACTCATTTTTTTAATACAATATAAAAAGAAATTGATCATTTCAGGGGACCTTTTTTCCTGAAATGTTCTCCAGTTTAGGAACTTCAGACATCCAGGGTCGCTACTCCCCAAAGGGAATTGATCTATACCCTTATACATGGAAGAGACCCAATTCCTTGCAGAACCACATACATAGAATATAAGTCTCAAGGGGAAGATTCACTTTTTTTTAATAGGAACACCACCCAATTCCATTGGTTTTCATTGCAAAGTAGGTTTTTTTCATTGTTCTGCGGCACCGGTCGTGGGGGTAACCTTAGGTGAGCTTGAAAAACTCATTTTTTTTAACAAAACAAAAAGAAATTTATCATTTCGGGTGACCTGGTGCTTTTTTAATGTTCCAGTTCAGGAACTTCAGACATCCAGGGTCGCTACTCCCAAAAGGAATTGATCTATACCCTTATACATGGAAGAGACCCAATTCCTTGCAGAACTACATACATAGAATATAAGTCTCAAGGGGAAGATTCACTTTTTTTTAAATAGGAACACCACCCAATTCCATTGGTTTTCATTGCAAAGTAGGTTTTTTTCATTGTTCTGCGGCACCGGTCGTGGGGGTAACCTTAGGTGAGCTTGAAAAACTAATTTCTTTTAACAAAACAAAAAGAAATTTATCATTTCGGGTGACCTGGTGTTTTTTTAATGTTCCAGTCCAGGAACTTCAGACATCCAGGGTCGCTACTCCCCAAAGGGAATTGATCTATACCGTCTATACCCTTATACATGGAAGAGACCCAATTCCATGCAGAACTACATACATAGAATATAAGTCTCTCACCTTTTTTTGTATAGGAACACCACCCAATTCCATTGGTTTTCATTGCAAAGTAGTTTTTTTTCATTGTTCTACGACACCGGTCGTGGAGGTAACCTCAGGTGAGCTTGAAAAACTCATTTTTTTAATACAATATAGAAAGAAATTGATCATTTCAGGGGACCTTTTTTTCCTGAAATGTTCTCCAGTTTAGGAACTTCAGACATCCAGGTTGCTACTCCCCAAAGCGAATTGATCTATACCCTTATACATGGAAGAGACTCAATTCCTTGCAGAACTACATACATAGAATATAAGTCTCAAGGGGAAGATTCACTTTTTTTTTAATAGGAACACCACCCAATTCCATTTGTTTTCATTGCAAAGTAGGTTTTTTTCATTGTTCTGCGGCACCGGTCGTGGGGGTAACCTTAGGTGAGCTTGAAAAACTCATTTTTTTTAACAAAACAAAAAGAAATTTATCATTTCGGGTGACCTGGTGCTTTTTTAATGTTCCAGTTCAGGAACTTCAGACATCCAGGGTCGCTACTTCCCAAAAGGAATTGATCTATACCCTTATACATGGAAGAGACCCAATTCCTTGCAGAACTACATACATAGAATATAAGTCTCAAGGGGAAGATTCACTTTTTTTTATAGGAACACCACCCAATTCCATTGGTTTTCATTGCAAACTAGTTGTTTTTCATCATAGTTCTACGACACCAGTCGTGGGGGTTCCCTTAGGTGAGCTTAAACAACTAATTTTTTAAATACAATATAGATCATTTCAGGGGACCTTTTTTTCCTGAAATGTTCTCCAGTTTAGGAACTTCAGACATCCAGGGTCGCTACTCCCCAAAGGGAATGGATCTATACCCTTATACACGGAAGAGACCCAATTCCTTGCAGAACTACATACATAGAATATAAGTCTCAAGGGGAAGATTCACTTTTTTTTTATAGGAACACCACCCAATTCCATTGGTTTTCATTGCAAAGCTGTTTTTTTTCATTGTTCTACGACCCCGGTCGTGGGGGTAACCTTAGGTGAGCTTGAAAAACTCATTTTTTTAAACAAAACAAAAATATATTTATCATTTCGGGTGACCTGGTGTTTTTTTTAATGTTCCAGTTCAGGAGCTTCAGACATCCAGGTTGCTACTCCCCAAAGGGAATTGATCTATACACTTATACATGGAAGAGACCCAATTCCTTGCAGAACTACATACATAGAATATAAGTCTCAAGGGGAAGATTCACTTTTTCTTCATAGGAACACCACCCAATTCCATTGGTTTTCATTGCAAAGTAGGTTTTTTTCATTGTTCTACGGCACCAGTCGTGGGGGTAACCTTAGATGAGCTTGAAAAACTCGTTTTTTTGCATACAATATAAAAAGAAATTTATCATTTCGGGTGACCTGGTGTTTTTTTAATGTTCCAGTTCAGGAACTTCAGACATCCAGGGTCGCTACTCCCCAAAAGGAATTGATCTATACCCTTATACATGGAAGAGACCCAATTCCTTGCAGAACTACATACATAGAATATAAGTCTCAAGGGGAAGATTCACTTTTTTGGATAGGAACACCACCCAATTCCATTGGTTTTCATTGCAAAGTAGGTTTTTTCATTGTTCTACGGCACCGGTCGTAGGGGTAACCTTAGATGAGCTTGAAAAACTCATTTTTTTGAATACAATACAAAAAGAAATTGATCATTTCGGGGGACATCGGAAGCTTTATTTTTTGACACCAACCGTGAAAGACCATGAAAACCAGGAGAATGTTCATCAATTTTTTCAAGGTAGAGTAGTTTTTTTACCATAGTTCTACGACACCGGTCGTGGGGGGGGAACCCTTAGGTGAGCTTCAAAAACTCATTTTTTAATACAATATAAAAAGAAATTGATCATTTCGGGGGACCTGTTTTTTTTGTTGAAACGTTTTAGGAACTTCAGACATCCAGGGTTGCTGCTCCCCAAAGGGAATTACGTATATAATATATACCCTTATCCATGAAAGGGACCCAGTTCCTTGCAGAATTACATACATAGAATATAGGTCCCCAGTGAACATATTCATCCATTTTTCCAGGAACACTACCCAATTCCGTTGGTGTTCATTGCAACATATTATTTTTTCATAGTTCTACGACACCGTTCGTGGGGGGGCCCCTTCGGTGAGCCTCAGAAACTTATTTTTTTAATACAATATAAAAAGAAATTGATCATTTCGGGGGACCTGTTTTTTTTTTGAAACGTTTTAGGAACTTCAGACATCCAGGGTTGCTGCTCTCCAAAGGGAATTACGTAAATAATATATACCCTTATACATGAATGGGACCCAATTCCTTGCAGAATTACATACATAGAATATAGGTCCCCAGTGAACATATTCATCCATTTTTCCAGGAACACCACCCAATTCCGTTGGTGTTTATTGCAACATATTATTTTTTCATAGTTCTACGACACCGGTCGTGGGGGGCCCCCTTCGGTGAGCCTCAGAAACTCATTTTTTTAATACAATATAAAAAGAAATTGATCATTTCGGGGGACCTGTTTTTTTTGTTGAAACGTTTTAGGAACTTCAGGCATCCAGGGTTGCTGCTCCCCAAAGGGAATTATGTATATAATATATAATTACCATTATACATGACAAGGACCCAATTTCTTGCAGAATTGCATACATATAATATAGGTCCCCAGTGAAAATATTCATCCATTTTTCCAGGAACACCACCCATTTCCGTTGGTGTTCATTGCAAAATAGTTTTTGTCATAGTTCTACGACACCAGTTGTGGGGGGTACCCTTCAGTGAGCTTGAAAAAATATTTTTTTAAAACACATTATAAAAGGAAACTGGTCATTTCGGGGGACCTGTTTTTTGTTGAAACGTTCTAGTTGAGGAATTTCAGACATCCAGGGTTGCTGCTCCCCAAAGGGAATTATGTATATAAAATATATACCCTTATACATGAAAGAGACCCAATTCCTTCCAGTACGGATGATATTTTGATAATTCAAAAGATTTTAGTGGGATGAACATTTGAAAAATCTCCATTTATGTCCATTTATGCTGCAGTATGGGTGATATTTTGATAATTCAAAAGATTTTAGTGGGATGAAATTTTGACAAATGTCCATTTATGTCCATTTATGCTGCAGTATGGGTGATATTTTGATAATTCAAAAGATTTTAGTGGTATGAAATTTTGACAAATGTCCATTTAATGTCCATTTATGCTGCAGTATGGGTGATATTTTGATAATTCAAAAGATTTTAGTGGGATGAAAATTTGAAAACTCTCCATTTATGTCCATTTATGCTGCAGTATGGGTGAAATTTTGATAATTCAAACAAATCAAAAAAAAAGCATCTTCCAGAATTGAAAAAATATTCTATGTACACCTCTGGGATATTCTATGTATACGTTTTTTTTCAATTCCTGAAGATGCCCTAAAACGTATTTTTTTTTCAATTCTATATTCTATGTACTAGTAGTTTCTTTTATATATATATATGTATAGATTAGATAGATATATATATATACATAATATAATATAATATAATACAATATAATATAATATAATATTATATAATATTATATTATATTTATATAATATAATATTATATTATATTTATATAATATAGTATAACATAATATAATATAATATACTATACTATAATATAATATAATACAATATAATATAACATAATACAATATAATATAATGTAACATAATATACATATAATATGAATATGATCACCAGTAATTGTTGATCACTAGTCATCGTGCAAAGACTCTTCTGGCAGATGATAACATATGGCTTCTGCCGTATGTCACTGAAAACTGCCATCTTGTAATTGGACTTCAAGTAACTGTACTGATACTCAGAACTGTACTGATACTTAGAACCTTTCCCAAAGATATGCATGATTGCGTGAATTGCGTCACTGCATAGTAAAGTTCAATCATCAACGTCATGCATGATCACGTATCTTTCGTCGTTGTTGATCACCAGTCATCGTCATTAAACATATCTCCTCATCATCAATCATTCAGCATCAACAACTTCATTCATCAACCAGTACCTTGATCATCATTCATCATCATTCATCAACCGTCATCTTTCTATCTTCATAGTCCATCCTCTTTTTGGTTACTCCCTCCTGCTCTTCTTTCGGACCACACTGTCGTCTAGTTTTTTTGAAAGCAGTCGCGACTCGTTGCGACTATGTATTTCTAAGTAAGTAACGCGCGTTGTGGTCCGGGTTTGACTCCTACGCGTGTTCCGGTTCCCTCTTGTCCTGGTTGTTTTCCTCTTGCCATGTTTTGGAATTAGTCATCAGTATCTTAGGTTTTGCGTTTTGCCGGAAATCTACATGGTTTTTTCTGTGATGCAGGGTTTGAGCTTTGATTCCCTGTGCTCGAGTCGATGCCATCCCTTTCCGTGGCAGCTCTGGAAATGATGCCTGCAGCCCAAAAAGTATAGTGCGATCTGATGCCTGCTTGGAGCGACAATACCATGTTTATCCTTCACGCGAAGTCTTGTTCGTGGTTGCTGACAGAAAGCTACACTTTGTAGTTAGACGGGGAGAGGTTCAAGGTTATATAGGTATCAGTACGTTCGTAGTCAAGGATCCTGGATTTCTTCAGGGCTAGGCGCGTCTCTCATTTTAGGAAACCTCCATATGGGTTCCAAACATTGGGATACAGGCAAAATGGCATGATATTTTCCGACCAGCTGAAGAAAAACCCAATGATTGGGAACTCTGTAACCACATTTTGGCACGGCGCATCACTGTATAGATATATAGATATAACAGAATGGCCATCCAACGGAAATCGTTGAGACTTCAGGAGAAGTCGCCCAGCAAGAAGAAAGCCGGCACAGGCCAGGATGCAGAAACAGATTGTTACAATAGTCTTGTAAACAATCATTGGTTGCTTCCCAGAAGGACCAAAGATTTGACAGTATCGCCATATTGTAAACACAGTCAGTTCTACAGTTACATCAGTTGCATAGCTGCATTTTTGAGCAGTCTTTGCTGTGCGTCTTGGATCCGTTTTGGTCTCAGCCGACACATCTTTGGCGCGTCGTAGGTATTCTCTCGCGGATGTTCAGTCCCTTCACAAAGGCGAAATGGCAGCAGACACTTTCGTTTCATGTGTGGCCCGAGGCTTGGGCATAGGCGGCGTAGCTCAACAGGTGGGTACAGATTAAAGTTTATAGCCCCCCCAAGTATAATGTGGTAAATTTAATAATAAATCTTGGGGATGGTTTCAGATCCTAAAAATCACCAGCCTTGGTGAAAAGCCAGGCATTCAAGGGCGTCTTGTATGCCTGGGAAGAGACAGAGGCTGGATGCGAGCAGTCATCAGTCCCCAAATTCAATTGCTACAAATCCACATTTACTGCCATAAATCCACAGTTCCACATATTGATATTGATATGCAATAAATTGGGATGTCGCTCGTTTTGAAAGAACTCCAAGGAAAGTTGTTCTGTCGAGACGGGGCATGACGGGGCACACGGAGTCAGTCTTGTTGAAATGGTGCTTGTGCAAAACGAGCACACTCAGCATAGCCTAAATGATTGTAACCTAGTATAATTCGATAGTGATGTGGTGGCCACTGGCTTTTGAGCACTAAATGCACTGCCAGCAACAGTTGACATGATTGGACAGATATCGTAGACATTTGCAAACATCATGAATGCCGTGGAGTGTGTGGCTGGTCTTGCAGTCCTGTGAAGTCACTTCAACTGCCAGTTGAATCCTTGCATGCTCAGCTCTACAATTTCCACGCTAAATGTTGGACACACGAATGTGATACCTCAATTCTCGTAGGAATTCATTGAAAGACAAGTTGGTGCTGAACTCAGAAGGTGAATATTGATGTTGTGCCGGCCCGTGCCGGCCTTCCTCTTGCATTGCTCTTAAATGATACCGGCATATTTCCGTGCAGAGCTTTCCGGTTGCTGAAAGAGTGAGGTGCTGTGATCGGTGTGACCACTGAGCCATATATGAAGTGGCCAAGACCCAAGCCATTGGAGCTTTTGATTTGGCAACAGTTTGAACAGTTTGGGTACCCCAACAAAAATCTATTGGTTAATCCGCTAATCCTCTGCCCTGTGAAATGGCCCATGAAATGGGGTGGGTTCGATCCTCCAAATCCTCCAATGCTCAGGCAGTTGGGCCAGCAGGTGTGGATGCCGGATTTCAAGCCTGGCGCTGTCCGCAACCTCGGCTGGGTCGGAAAATCTATGGGGAAGGCCCCAAAATCCACTTACCGCCATTTCTTCAATAAACCATTGGATTAATGAGCCGTTTTCCGTATTTTTGGCAATTTCTTAGAGCCATCTTTGGAGATGAGTGAAAATCTACAAGACTTTTTTCTTTTGGGAAGGAACATCCATGAATCCCATCCATTGTGGTACCAAGGTGTCAAGGTTTTTGACTCCATTTCTATCTTTGGCCCTGACTTGGCCATGTGTGGATTTGTATGAGAATACCATACACACACACATATATGTATATTAATATATATATATATATTAATTCATATATTAATGGTATTATGGTATTCATACAGTAATATATGTAATGCATGTGTGGATCTATAATATGTATTCATACAGTAATATATGTGCCACATATGACATAAGTATGTTATAGACATATGCACATACCCAGCCACTTTCCCACGGGGACACAACGGACTCAACGGATTTTCCAGCAGCCACTGAGTCCTTCAATTTTGCCATGTACGATCCTGTGACTTGGCGAAGATCTCGGAGGGCGATGTTGTCTCAGTATCAGACAAGCTGAGGAGCAGCATGTGAAAGTGTCGCTTTGGGATCGTGACCTTCTTTGTCTCCTGCCTTGTTTAGAGGTTTAGAGCCGCTGCCATGGAAACAACGGCTTAGCAACTGGATTCTCGAAATCAAGACAAGCCATCATTTTCACCGTACAAATAGGACATTCCGCGAAATACTTGGATATGGTTCAAGATTGGGTACCCCCAAAAAATCCTAAAAATGGATGGTTCATACTATGCAACACATTGACCCATCCCGACTTTTTATCTCGAGATTTCGCATCATCAGCATTCCGCCAGCCAAAGACGATCTCATGGGAGAGACGACGTTTCAGGCGGTGAAGGCGGGTTCAGCGATGGTAAACCCATGGGAACCCCTAAAGCAAAACCATCCTCGACTTACCAGAAATGGGTGCTACGGTGGTAACTCCTCTCATTCCAATTTTGACCAGCCATTTTTGCTTTTTACCATGGGTTTTACCATTATTACTATATATAAATCATATTATTCCCCTGAAATGGAAGGAATGGGCTTCCCATGGCTGCCAGGCCATCTTCCATTCTGGGGAACGCGTGCCGCTGATCGTTCCAGGCCGGGGGAAGAAGTCGGAAAGCCAATGGTTTGGGGTAGGCCCTAGGAATAGGAAACCTCCATGGGATGGTCTACAGATCTATAGAGTGATTTTACCATGGATTTTACTGATATTTGGGTATTCAACAGTACAAACTATCTCGTATGAACCATTTTGAAGACAGATTCATGGCGATTTTGTGGCTGTGTTCCACTGGACTTTTCACAGGCGAAGAGGATCTCTCCGCAGGGACATTCAATGCCAAGGCGGAGAATGGGTGCCACTTGGTATCTAGAGAATACATGTCGTGTCTATATAATTCCCTGTCTCTTTCATACATACACATATGATATGGATACATAATATATATATATATACACCCATATATTCAGTATGTATGTATATATATATATGTATGTATGTATGTATGTATGTATGTATGTATGTATTTTTGTATGTATGTATGTATGTATGTATGTATGTATATATGTATATATGTATATTTATATATGTATTTATTATAGATGGGTAGATGGATGTATACATGGATAGATGCGATTGTGATATAGTAGATATAGGTAGAAGTTGGCCGGTAGCGCCATGCCCCAGCTTTGGAGCGGCCCGTTGACTGCCCCGCCTTTCGAGACTTCCCACAATGAAGAGGGGTCCATCAAAAATCATCAAACATCATCAAAAATAATCATTAATCATCATCAATAATCTATACATTAATAAAATCTCTATAAGGGTAATGTTATATCTCATCAAATGCCCATGTTATTCATTTTCTCATTTTCTTCTGTTCATGAGTTTCACACTCATGAATTTCATGTTGAAGTCCCCATTTTTTTTTGGATTATCTTCCCAAAATTGGTCCATGGTGCACTAAAATTCCCACCTCGTGGGATTGGTGTAACGCTGGTCCCTCCGCAGCTCCGCAGCTCCGCAGATCGAGTTCTTGGTGACCTCGCCGGGACACAACAGCAGCGAGGGTTACCTGGTAGTGATCCGCGTGAGAGAGTTCCTGCAGGCGAAACCCTGGTGAAAAAAACACGTTTTTTTTTTTAAATGTGCTGGTGTTGGTGCTGGTGCTGGTGTTGGTGTTGGCGTTGTTGTTGTTGTTGTTGATGATTCCTCAACAAAACTGAGGATTTACTCAAGAAATGTGGATTCGCTCAAGAAAAACACACATCTGATGTTTGGAAAATGGACATTTCATCCACCAAAAGGTTATTGTTTGCTCTCAGAATTGCAGATTTGAACCCAAAAAATCGGGATTTATGCTCCGACCAAACTGTGCCAGGGTGGATCAGCTCTTAAGGCTGGGCTCCGGGAGATCATTGGATGGCGAAGCCAAAATGCTATGGATCCTGATGGAGTTCTGAAAGATACACCACTGGTTATATTGCTTATGACGGGTTGATAAATTCTGATGGTCTGATGGGTTGATGAATGGACACAATTGGGTAAATTTTCGACCTCCGAGCAAATTGGGTGGGTTAAACCTGTTGGTTGGACGTGGGCGCCGATCATTGCCTTCAGTTTATTTAAAACAAAAAGGCAGGACCTAAGACAGAAACCCGTGAGGCTTTCCCAACTAGTAACTATTGGCGATTTTGCACCCGAGCTGGGATGATTCTCCCATTTATAAGTGGATATGTGTATATATATATATAATTTATAAATATGTATAAATACATATAACCATAGTTACAGGGGTTATATGATGTTATATGCCATGTTATGGAAGTTGTCACCATGGTTATTCCCAGCCGCCCACGTTGGAGGGCAAGAAGCTGGCCATGCGTGCCGTGTTTGGCGACGAGCAACAAATCACCAAGGTGCATGGACTGGGCTGGTAAGTGGAAGACATCCCATCAAGTGCAGTGTGCACCCACTCTCCATGTATACATATACACACTATTTAATACAATAATATATATTATATTAAATCATATTAGGTTATATTATATTATATTATACTTATATTTATATTATATTTATATTATATTATATTATATTATATCATATTATATTATATTATATTATATCATACTATATATATAAGCCACTATATATATATATTCTATTATATTATATTATATTTTATTATATTATATCATACTATATATATATCACTATATATATATATTATATATTATATTGTATTGTATTTGTATTATGTTACATTTATTATATTATACTATAGTATATTATATATTATATTATATTATATTATATATTATATTATATTATATTATTAAATATTATTATATATTATTATATATTATCATATTGTATTGTATTGTATGATATTTTATTATATTATATCATATCATATGATATTATCAATTATATATTATATATTATAGATTATTTATGAAATATTATATATTATATATTATATACTTTATATTATTTATGAAATATTATATATTATATATTATACAAATTATACATTATATATTATATATTAAATATTATATATATATAGATTATGTATATATATATTTATATGTACTATGTATATATATATATATATACATGTACGTGTGTAACGGATGCATGGATGCATTGATGCATGGACGGATGGATGGACGGATGGATGGATGGAAAGTATGTAATGTTACGTGACGGAAAGTAATGCAATGCAAACGTAAACGTAAACGTAAACGTAAATTTTAAATGCAAATCCAAATCTAAATGTATATACATGTACATGCACATGCCAATGTAAAAGAATGTAAATGTCATGTCATGTCATGTATGTATGTATCTATGTATACCACTTATATATGTATGCATAGACTCTGATCCCGCGGGCTAGTTTGCCATACCATTTGGCACCTCAGCAATTTTGGAATCAACATTGTGTGGTGGGTGCAACTGTTGGATTTATGGTAGATATATCAAACTTATTAGCGGGGTTATAAGTTTGGGTCAAAAAGATGGACCTTAAGTCCAAATGGTTCTATCTGAATCTATCTGAATCTATCTGAATCTATCTGAATCTATCTGAATCTATCTGAATCTATCTGAATCTATCTGAATCTATCTGAGTCTATCTGAATCTACTTTTTCCCCTTGCTGCAGTTGCTTGATTGGCTCCCGAATGACGAAAGTGTTAGGCTGGTGCCGCAATGCTGGACATCACTGAGACAATTCCAGCGAAGGCCACGCATGGGTTGTGAAGAAATATCACTTGAAGCTCTGTGGGTTGCAAAGCACAATGCAACACCCCATGGAAAGGTGACATTTCACTTCTCAGGTGGCATGACTGCTAGTATCCAAGCTCCGAAGATCTGTGCTGAAGGTACCTTAATGATTCAAAACGGACCAGGGTATAGACACGCAAAGAGAGCCTGCCTTGTTCACCTTGAGGCAATGCTGAAGAAGATTGAGGAGAATATGAATGAAGCAGGTTGGGAGTTGCCTCCGGTCACACTTTGTCAACTTGGGCAGCCCTCAGTGAAGCTGTGCCAGGTGTCGATGAGGAAGCCATTCAAAAGGTGCGATTTGGAATACCTTGTGCACCCACAATGCTGTGACCACCACCGTGCAACCGCTGCGGCATGGAACTGGAACCTCAGCAAGTCCCCAGTGCCTGTCTTTCATGAGGTCTTGGATCTTGAATCGCTGCGACAATGCAGCTTCGCAATCAATCGATCGTTGCAACCTGGCAGACGTAGTAGCAAGCCAGTGCTTCTATATATATATATATCTCTCTCTCTATTTACAGTATATATATATATATAGAGAGTTATTGTTAGGTGGATTTGCATGTTGCCTGTCTCCAAACTGCAAGAGTTGGAGATATGTATGTTCCATGTGCTTTCTGCAGAGGCATGCAGAACTGATACCCACTGTCAAAACGTGTGTTGGCAACAGAGGCAGGAAGTGCATTTGCCATGATGATGCCCAACCAAGGCATTTTGTCGTTGCCAACCATGAGATTGAAGAAGGAGAGGTCTCTCTTCACTTGGTCCTTTGGCGGCGGCTGTAAGAGCAGGCTCTACCTCTAACAGTAGGCGAGAACGCTGCATCCTTTAATGGTGCACTGTACCCCAGTAGTGTAGATTGACTGCGGACGGATATCCATGTCGAAGTACTGCAACACTCACTTAGCCAGCGCCACTTTGATTTGTCAGTCATTGAGCTTTCATGAGCAATTATCTCGGGAAGACCAAAATTTGAAGCAGCCCTCCCCAAGTTTGAAGGCTGCACAGATGCCAAGGTTGACATGGACATTGTCCAGCAGACTCTTGGATCAGCAGAACTGGCCGATAGCTGCCACAATATTAGGGAACCCAACAGATGGGTACCCTAGGGGTTTCAGCAGATTGAAATGTGCTTGAAGAATTTCTTCCCACAAGACAACATGTGCATCATGGATTGATTTGCAGAAAGGGCCTGTCATCATGGGTATTCAAGCTTGCTCCAATGTAGCTTACAACAGTTTGACCTCTTTCAGTACGAGTGTCATGGGCAAGCTCTGGCAAAGGGGCAGTACGAATACCAGCGTTTCTTTACAGCCTTTGTGGTATGGGTTTGTCCAAGAGTTCGGTATACCAAAAAGACATCCATGAATATCCTGATATCATCATTTTCACCCTCAGAGATTCAAGACATTGCCCACTTTTTTGTTCAGAAAAAAAGGGCTTCCGCCACGCCCTGTTCCAGATCTTCAGCCATCAGTCAATCGCCAGGAAGAAAGGCAAAGACAAGAAGGAGTCACCCAGGTCACCGAGATCCCCAAGGGCCAGTGAGGCGGATGAAGAGGTGGTTGGCTCTATGAAGGCCGCGAAAAACGAAACAACCACTGCGGATAATTTTTTTTGGGCGGTTTCAAGGAAGTGTGTACAATACGCGTGTGATTGATATACACATACTATAGATACATATCCATCATTGATATCATACAACACGACAATCGCAATATCACTTTGTCAATGCATAGCAAGGGTGGGGTTATGAACATCACTGGCAAGCATGAAGCTCACTCTGCGTGCGCTACACAGGAAAAGCTCATGTACTACCACAAATTGAGAGAAGTCTCCGAGAAATATGGAAGACATAACCAGTATATTATTGCAGGGGATTTCTCTGCGAAGATTGTCAAAAGACTCCCGGAAGAGGAAGGGTACAGTGGACAATATGTCTTTAATCCTGAGAACAAGCAAGTCGATGACCTACCTGATACACAATTGGAAACCGAGAAATGTTCGTGTCATTTGTATGGAACACAACTACGTAATATCGACATTCTTTCAAAAATCCAACCAAAATTGAATTAGGCTTCGCCCCTGATTCCACCGAATCAACGACAATCATACGTATATGTGTGTATGTAATGTAATGTAATGCAATGTAAAGTAATCTAGTGTAATGTAATGTAATGTAAGTCAAGTATATAAGTATGTATGTATGTATGTATGTATGTAATGTAATGTAATGTAATGTAATGCAATGTAATGTAATGTAATGTAATGGTATGTAATGTAATGTAATGTAAGTCAAGTATGTAAGTATGTATGTATGTAATGTAATGTAATGTAATGTAATGCAATGTAATGTAATGTAATGTAATGGTATGTAATGTAATGTAATGTAATGTAATGGTATGTAATGTAATGTAATGGTATGTAATGTAATGTAATGTAATTAATGCAATGTATGTAATGTATGCAATGTATGGAATGTATGGAATGTATGTAATGTATGTAATGTATGTAATGTATGCAATGTATGTAATGTATGTAATGTATGTAATGTATGTAATGTATGGAATGTATGTAATGTATGGAATGTATGTAATGTATGTAATGTATGTATTGTATGTATTGTATGTATTGTATGTAATGTATGTATTGTATGTATTGTATGTATTGTATGTATTGTATGTATTGTATGTATTGTATGTATTGTATGTATTGTATGTATTGTATGTATTGTATGTATTGTATGTATTGTATGTATTGTATGTATGGTATGTATGGTATGTATGGTATGTATGGTATGTATGGTATGTATGGTATGTATGGTATGTATGGTATGTATGGTATGTATGGTATGTATGGTATGTATGGTATGTATGGTATGTATGGTATGTATGGTATGTATGGAATGTATGGAATGTATGGAATGTATGGAATGTATGGAATGTATGGAATGTATGGAATGTATGGAATGTATGGAATGTATGGAATGTATGGAATGTATGGAATGTATGGAATGTATGGAATGTATGGAATGTATGGAATGTATGTAATGTATGTAATGTATGTAATGTATGGAATGTATGGAATGTATTGAATGTATGTATGTATGGAATGTATGGAATGTATGGAATGTATGGAATGTATGGAATGTATGTAAGGTATGTAATGTATGTAATGTATGTGTAATGTATGTGTAATGTATGTAATGTATGTGTAATGTATGTAATGTATGTGTAATGTATGTAATGTATGCAATGTATGCAATGTATGCAATGTATGTAATGCATGCAATGTATGTCATGAATGTAATGTATGCAATGTATGCAATGTATGTAATGTATGTAATGTATGTAATGTATGGAATGTATGTAGTGTATGTAATGTATGTAATGTATGTGATGTATGTAATGTATGTAATGTATGTAATGTATGTAATGTATGTAATGTTATGTAATGGTATGTAATGGTATGTAATGGTATGTAATGGTATGTATGTATGTAATGTAATGTCATGTCATCTAATGTCATGTAATGTCATATAATGTCATGTAATGTCATGTAATGTCATGTAATGTCATGTAATGGAATGGAGGGGAATGTCATGTAATGTATTGTAATGTAACGTAATGTAACGTAATGTAAGGTAATGTAATGTACTGTAATGTATGTAATGTATGTAATGTATGTAATTTAATGTAATGTATGCAATGTGTGTAATGTATGTAATGCATGTAATGAATGTAATGTATGCAATATATGCAACGTATGCAATGTATGTAATGTATGTAATGTATGTCATGAATGTAATGTATGCAATGTATGCAATGTATGTAATGTATGTAATGTATGTAATGTATGGAATGTATGTAATGTATGTAATGCATGCTGTAATGTATGTAAGGTATGTAATGTAATGTAATATTCATGTAAATGTAAATGCAAATGTAACGTAATGAAATGGAATGGAATGGTATGGTGTGTATGTGTGTATGTGTGTATGTGTGTATGTGTGTATCTTATGTTATGTTAAGTTATGCTAAGTTATGTTAAGTTATGTAATGTAATGTAATGTAGTGTAATGTAATGTAATGTAATGAATGTAATGTAATGTAATGAATGTAATGTAATGTATGTAATGTAATGTAATGTCATGTCATGTAATGTAATGTAGTGTAATGGTATGTACGTATGTATGTAATGTAATGTAATGTATTGTATTGTAATGTATTGTAATGTAATGCAATGCAATGCAATGTAAAGTAATGTAAAGTAATGTAAAGTAATGTAAAGTAATGTAAAGTAATGTAAAGTAATGTAAGTCAAGTATGTATGTATGTATGTATGTATGTATGTATGTATGTATGTATGTATGTAATGTATGCATGTATGTAATGTATGTATGTATGTATGTGTGTATGTGTGTATGTGTGTATGTGTGTATGTGTGTATGTGTGTATGTGTGTATGTGTGTATGTGTGTATGTGTGTATGTATGTATGTATGTATGTAGTAATGTGTGTGTCTGTATGTATGTAAAATGTAATGTAATGTAATGTAATGTAATGTAATTTAATGTAGGGTATGTATGGTATGTACTGGTATGTTATGTAATGTATGTTGGTATGTATGGTATGTATGGGTATGGTCATGTATGGATTGTCTGGTCTGTCTGGCCCTGTCTGGTCCTGTATGGTATGTATCTGGTCTGTCTGGTCCTGGTCCTGGTCTGTATGGTCTGGGTCATTTATTTCTGTCTGGTCTGTCTGTTCTGTCTCGGTCTGTCTGGTGATTTCTGGTCTGTCGGTCTGTCTGTTCTGTCTGTCCTGTCTGTCCTGTCTGTTACCTGTCTGTCTGTCTTTTCCTGTCTGTCCTGTCTGTCCTGTCCTGTCTGGTCCTACTGTATGTCCTTCTGTAATTTCTGTACTGTCCTATGTCTGTCCTGTTGTTCTGTATGTAATGTCTGTTGTATTTGTCTTGTATGTATGTGTATATATATATATATTTGCGAATACTTAGAGATCCGCAATCGCTTGGCAATGATCACTAGGACATGCTGTCAGTTAAAACCATTTTGGAACAAAGCAAACACAAGCACGACATGGAAACTACAGGTCTTCAACGCAATCATCAAAACAGGACTCATGTATGGCCGCGAAACAATGCAGCTTACCCACAATGAAATGGGCAAAATAGATGCTTTCCAAAATAATATCAATTAGGCGAATACTACGTATCCCAGGTACATTCATCGATAGATCGCAAACCAACTTGTTCGTGAAAAAACTCGCAAAACAATGTAGATGTGACTAAGTTCTTAGATACATAGCGAAAGCAACAGTTAAAGTTATTTGGACATATTTTTTGAGCAGAACATACTGACCCACTTCGGCAAGGACTATAGAACTTATTCTCCCAGATTATTTGCAACAAGAAGGGTGCGTCGACCAAAAATGGATTGGCTAACAGAAACTTTGAAAGATGCCTATCACGCGCTCGGGTGGATAGTGCCGCCTGTTTTTCAATCATATCAATGTACATTATCTAGTGGAGGCTGCTCCCGAAGCGGGCCTTTCAGTCGTCAAACATCCTGGCCATCAGCCTCCGGGCACCCACCAGTGTTTCTCTTCGCTTTGGTCATGCTGCGCACCTTCATTTGCGCTTGATTAACACATACTATGGAAGTAGTATAGATACATGAATATATGTGTATATATATATATATGTATACATATGTTCGCTCGACATGTAAGTCTTTGCTGGCCTTACCCCTGTTGACAGATCTCACTGAAGCAGTTGTACGAAGCGGAAGGCTGGGTGTCAGCCAGCTGTTTTAGTGCCAGCATCGAATTTCCAGTGGGACCACTGACACTTGAAACCTTGGGCCGAAGAATGATTTCATCGATGCTGAAATTGCATTCTTGGAGGCTTGGAGATTGGAGGCCCTTTCGAATTTGATGCAAAAGAACTCGGAAAGATTGACGAATCCTGCCTGAATTTGCATCGTTTGGTGATTGGTGAGCCATTTGGTATTGCAATATTGGGTAAATGTGAAAATGGCGATTCCAAAGCTGCAAGGTGTCCGACATGACAAAATCAGCACGCTCAAAGGAAGACCAAAAAACCCATCCATCGGGTTGAAGATTGTCACCTGATGAACGAAGAGACAAAAAACCATGGGCTGAGTTCGCTTTTTCGAGGTGAAAATGCATGTGCACTTGATGCTCAGCTGCAGTGGTATCACGAGCTGGTGAGCTGGTGAATCAATGGCAGAATTTGTTGCTGGCATTTTCAGTAGAAATCATACAATATAAAACAGCTATAATACATAGATCCTGGTGTTCTGGTGTGTTTTAAGATGTAACTTTGTGTTTGTAGCTGTTTGTATTGTCACAAAGAGCTGCAGAAGGACTGGAAGATATTTCACGTATCGATTTTAGAGTCCTTCACAAACACGCTACTAATATTTCTCGTGAGTGACTCAGGCTGGTGCATGTCTCATGTAGGTTGTTGGTGTCTGACTTGACGAGTAAGGAGTGGCCTGGAACCAACAAGTCTGGAGACGGTCAACAAAATGGCTGTCGACGAGCAGCTTGGGCAGGGCGGAACTGGTCTTTGGGAATTCCCGGGAATTCTGGTGCTGGATGAAAGACGAATAGTCAAGAACAATGTAGAACAATCATATTCTGGCAAGATTGGCGGGTTCGTGTCCCTAGATCACGAAAGGTCGTACCAGCCGTAGTTCAACACCAACTAGCAGTTGTGCTGTTTCTGTTGGTCCTGAGGGATAAGATGGCTGCGGAAGTGGAAGAGATCTTGCAGGAAATGTGAGGCCGTTGCCTCAGTTGCCACCGATGCGAGATGATAGGCATCTGATGAGATAGGACATTTTAAAGGCCGAGCGAAAGCCCCAATAGCATTAATGCATATTGATGCACTCTGGAAACGTCAGTGTCCGCAGGTGTCAATGGATTTAACGGTTTTAACTCTTAACGTGTTCTAAAATTAAATTGCTCTGTACATGTCTCCATTGTTTGTCCATCGTGCTTTTCGAGCTTTGCTACTTGAGGCAACGGTACAGGCTAGCCGCAGGGCTGGATGCCACAGCCGGCGCACTGCCCTTTGTCAGCTATGTCAAAGACTCAGGCTCAGCAAGAGTCTGAACCGAGACTTTCCGATCAAAACAGAAATGCATCATCATTGCAATTCCCAGATTCCCAGCATCCAACGGAATCCTACGGAATCCTACGGAATCCTACGGAATCCTACGCATACCTGGCATACCTGATGGATTCGGCGCGGACAGAAAGGCATCGTCTCGTTGGAGATTCCGACATCGTCATACGGCCAAGCCGTAACTTTTGAAGGGCGCAGAGGCATGGCCGGGAAGAGATGGGAAGCGCTGATTTGAAGGAGATATCTGAGATAGAACAGCAACTGGTTATAACTGGTTGCTGCTTTCAATTCGTTTTGGCTTTGGAATGATGCTACCACACCACAGTTTTCTTGGTGAAACCACCATAGGCAGTACTGTATTATATGTATTATGTATTCAGTGTCGCAACCAATTTCCTCCCGACCGGCCTGGGCATTGGCAAAAGGGCCAACCACGTGAAAGTTCACAGAGTCGTTGTGCCGCATTTTCCGTCGCCCCTTCCAAAGAAGTGAGCGACGAGCAATGCCTGTGATCCTGCTCGCCACAAGAAAAAGGGCTCAGCTGAGGAACCGGTTGAATGTTTCAGTGCCGAAGTAGTTGTATATAGATCATTTAAGTCCTTGAGTTTTCAAGATAAGAATCTCAACTCTCTTCCTGTCCTGAAGAAACTTGATTCTGCTTTAATCTCTGCACTTCTCGATGATGGAATATCCTTCTTTTATCGTGTGCGAGAGCTTGAATTGTGTGACCAGTGTGCCCATGTACCCACTAGCTTGGGAAGAGACATTTGATTTGCAGTAGAGATGCATCATGGATCTCTGAACCTCCAGGATGCTGCTGTTGGGACGTGCTCGCGTGCATGATTTGCAAGCTGCTTGTGGTGCCAGTATGTATGTGCCAGTGACACCCCATGGTTTTAATATGAATTACATGTATATATATATGTATATGAATGTCGATATTGGTTGATGTATGTATACATATGATATATCTATATCTATATTTTTCTTTCTCTCTCTCTCTCTATTATCTATATCTATCTATCTATATATATATATTTATTTATACACACTATCCCCCTCTGAAACCTACTGGTTTCGATTTTGTTATTGTGTTTTACAGTGATTTTTGCTTGTTTCGCCTTCAAAAGCAGCCAGCATTTTTTTCATTCATTTGAAGACTTTGGATGTTTGAGCGTGATGAATTATGATGTTTCATGTGTACATACAATGACATATTTTGATGGTATTTGCATCGTTTTTGACTACCGTATTGTGCTCCCAACAAAGGGTTTCAATTCAAACATGGACAGAATGCGCACGGATCTGTGGCCAAACGTCAATTTTAAGCTTTTACATGAGTTTTTACAATGTTTTTGTTCCTTCTTGTGACACATGAAATTTCTGATTTTGTACGCTTTCAGATCTTGCAGACATATTATTTGATGATCAACATGGTAGATATGTCTTTGGCATTTTTTCCTTACTATGTAGCTTCCGTCTCTTGTTTCACTACTGCAGTGGCTCAATACTTTGGATGATGTGTGGGTCTTAGGAGGTCCTAGGACCTCTTAGTTCTTACCCCTTCCAAACTATGTCTTAAGTATGATTTACGTACCTCCAAGTACCTCCACCTCTCTGCAAGTTTCCCTTAAGTAGTGATTCAACCCACATGAAAAAGATCATTCAACTTTCGGTCTTTTCCCCCTTTCCTGAAAAAGGCAGTGAAAACATTGTAGATGACTACAAGAGACGATCAAACATGCATCCTTCTCTTGAAGAACCAGTTCTAATTGACGAGAGCAGGCTTTACAAACGGACACTTTCATTCAAAGGGTGTAGCATTCCTCAAAAAGAGTATTCCTTTTCAATAGGTAGCATTCCTTTGCAGAAAGCCACTTCTCTTGAAAATATATATCTTCATTTCGATCAGGTAGTGTTTTTCCAACATGTAAATATGCATTCCTTAATTCACAGAACCATTTCATAACATACTAGGTACAATACTTCTGGAAGGAAGAAACGCGTTGCACAATAAGTCCCTGCAACATAGAAGGCATCTTTCAATCAAATGCAGTATCTCTTCAAATAAATAAGACTGTATTCAGAAATGTAGCCATTACTTTGAAGAACATAATTACGTGTTGTTCTCCAAGTGACACTATATTTGTTGGAAAACAAGTTGGATGTGTAAAAGAAAATGCTGCACATGTGGCACAAGTACGGCTACATTGTGCTTTCTAGAGACAGTATGCACTCATTTTTTGATAGGTGCGCCTTCTGAAGAAAAGGGACTTGAAAGGGCACAGCATTACTTCAATAAGAAAGCTCTCTTAGTCTATGCAGTATTCACTGGAAACAATGATATATTTCTAAAATAGTTGCAGTGTAGCATTATTTTTTTTTTGCAATGTTACATTGACAAGAGTGATACATTCCTGACACATGGTGGGGCGTTCCTTCATGAAAATGCATTGCTTTGGCACAGTGTATTCATTGATTTTTCAGGCTTGGGGAAAAGACCCAAAGTTGAAACTTTTCATGGTAGTTAAATCAATCCCATCTACTTAAGGGAAACCCAAGATGGATGCATTTCCAGAGGAATGCGTTCAGAATGCATTCTTTCCCTAATCTAAGATCTAAGATCTACTTAAGATTTGCTCAGGAGTCTTTGGGGAATCTTAGATTTAAAACTAAGAAATAAGAACTAAGATTTGCTCAGGAGTCTTTTTGGTTCGGAAATTCTAAGATTTGTTCAGGAATTCTGGGGGAATCTTAGTTCTTAGTTCTTAGTTTTGGTTTGGAAATTCTAAGATTTGTGCAGGAGTCCTGAGGGAATCTTCAATCTTAGTTCTTAGTTTTTAGCAGAGAATGCATTCTGAATGCATTCTTCCCAGAATGCTATCATTGAAGTCAAGTTCAATCAATCTTAATAGCATGCTTACTACACTACTATGTATAATAATATATATATATATACACACACTATAATACGCACTCTTGAACCTATTGCTAAAATTTCCTCAAAATAGGCGTGTATGTAAGGTAACCCCCTTTTGATCCAACCATGTGATAAATATGTAAAAGAGGTTGGTTTCAGGGGGGGTACCATATCTATATATATATATTTTTGTATATATATATATATATGTGTATATATATATGTATATATATATGTATATATATATCTTGATATACATACACATCTATATACACACATAATATATATATACATAATATATATATATGTGTATATCCAGGATCGCTTGATGACACCCATAAAGCAGTCTATTACATCTGTAGAGCTATAATCCAAATGAATGGGCGAATGGGCTCTTTGGCAAAGAAAGTTTCCGTTATTTTCTTCAGTTTTTGAACATATTTTTTCATCCCTTTTTTGATGATATTTTCCAAGAGACAAGGGGATTAAATCTTGTAAAACCTGATGAAGACCTGAATGGATCTACAATTGTCGAGCTAGTGACGGGCCTTGGAATGGCAGGTTGCAAGATAATCTTCAGCTCTTGAAGGACGTCGAGGCTTTCAGATTTCTGCTGTTCTGCTGTGTTTTTTTTTTGCGACTGACGCTTTCGATGTTCACCCGACGCTGCTCCTTGTGGTGTTGATCAACCTGAATTTGTCGTTCAAACATCGGTCCTTTGTTGAGGCAAAATCTCAAGCCTCACTTGATGCAGCACGCGCCAAGGTCCGGACCTTGGCTGTGGCGGCGTTAACCACGTCCGGTTGATGATTAAGGGGTTATAACGGGTTATATATATATATATTTAAGGGCTGCCGCCCCTGCCGCCGACCCCGGAGAAAAAAAAGAGGTTTGCGCTGTGTTTTCACACAGCTCAAGTTGGTGGCTTTTCCATAGCCATGATACGAGAGGAGATATAGAGAGAGAGAGATATATATATATAGTTAAATTTCACCAGAGCGAGGCAATATATTTTGGATGTTTTTTTAATGTTTGTTTATGTTGCATTCTGACATAGTGTTGCTGGACAGTCAGGCTTGTGCTTGAGGATTTTTCATTTGGGATCTCAAATGACTGAAATTTTCAGGGGCTGACAACACCAGGTCACAAAAAGCCATGGAACGGCTAGGGTCGACATTGTCATTTTTAATGTGCAGGTAAACATCGGCATTCGACATCGAGGATGTTAGATAGATAGATAGATAGATAGATAGATAGATAGATAGATAGATGGTCTGCAGGCTTGCTAGATTCGATAGATGGATAGATAGAGATAGATCGATCGATCGATAGATAGATGGAGATAGATAGATAGATAGATCGATCGATAGATAGATAGGTCGATAGATAGATAGATAGATTGATAGATAGATAGATAGATAGATAGTTAGATAGATAGATAGATAGCTAGATAGTTTGATAGATAGGCAGGTAGTGGCAGGTAATGGTAGGTAGGTAGATGGATAGATAGAATCATAGATCTGTGTATATTTAATAGATATATATATATTCATATATATATATATTCATATATATATATTCATATATATATATATTCATATATTATATATATATATATTCATATTATATATATATTCATATATATATATGTGTGTGTTTCATTGTCAGTGTGCATCTGTCTATGTCTCTGTCTTTTTGTTCCAGGCTGACTCACATTGTACCATATCCTCCATAT